CCATTAATGCTGGGCAGACTGATACACACCTGTAGTACCAGATAGTCAAGGGGCTGAGGCAGGAGGACTGCTTAAGGCTGGGAGAGAACCTGGGAAACAGCAAGACTCAGGCTCTTTAAAAACAAAACAAAAACAGGGAGAGAGAGAGAAAAGCTTCCATTTAGAAAGGGAAATAACAAGCCACAGATTGGAAGAAAGTATTGAAGATAACAGGGACGTGACAAAGGGCAAACACACAGAATAGTTAAAGAACTCTCACAGCAGTAATAAAAAGGCAAGCCAATTAAAAGGGGAAAAACTTGAACAAACATTTCACAGAAGAAAATATTAAAAGGCCAATAAGTATATAGAATGACTCTCAACCTCATTAATTTTCAAGGAAATTGAAATTAAAATCACAAGATACCACCAAATGACTAAAAATACAAAATAGACACAATATCTAAATGGCTAAAATTTAAAAAGCATTAACAAGGATGTGGAACAACTGGAACTCTCATACAATTGTGAGTAGGAATATAAAATGGTATCAGGTTGGAAAACTGTTCTTCAATGTCTTATTAAGTTGAATGCACATCTAATCTGTGAAACTAGTTCACTGTACACTGTCAACTTTTCAGAGTTCAGTGTGATGAAAGACCCATGCACACAAGTTACATGCAGCAATTTTATTACACCAAGGTAGGCTCTGAGGAACAACAGAAGCCGGAGTCCTGGCAAGCTGGCTCCCAAATGCCTGTGGTGGATGGAGTCTTTTCTCGTGTGTTGCAGCATGGTAGCTGAGGGATGGTGGAAAGCAGCCCAATCTGGGTATAGATCCCAGGGTTAAAGGGCTCACTGGGCTTGTCTTTTTTCTTTTCTTTCTTTCCTTTTTTTTTTGAGACAGAGTCTCATCATGTCACCCTTGGCAGGGTGCTGTGGCGTCACGGCTCACAGCAACCTCAAACTCTTGGGCTTAAGCGATTCTTTTGCCTCAGCCTCCCAAGTAGCTGGGACTACAAGCACCTACCACAACGCCCAGGTATTTTTTTGGTTGTAGTTATCATTGTTGTTTAGAAGGCCCTGGCCAGGTTCAAACCCACCAGCCCTGGTACATGTAGCTGGTGCCCTAACCACTGAGCTACGGACACTAAGCATTTTCTTTCTTTCTTTTTTTTTTTGCAGTTTTTGGCCAGGGCTGGGTTTGAACCCACCACCTCTAGCACATGGGGTTTACTCCTTTGAGCCACAGCTGCCACTTGCCTTTTTTTTTTTTGAGATAGAGTCTCACTTTGTCACCCTTGGTAGAGTGTCGTGGTGTCACAGCTCACAGCAACCTCAAATTCTTGGGCTTAAGCGATTCTCTTGCCTCAGCCTTCCAAGTAGCTGGGACTACAGGCGCCTGCCACAATGCCTGGCTATTTTTTTAGAGACGAGGTCTCAGGCTGGTCTCCAACTCATGAGCTCAGGCAATCCACCCACCTCTGCCTCCCAGAGTGCTAGGATTACAGGTATGAGCCACCCTGTCCAGCCCTCACTGGGCTAGTCTTGAAAAATACCTTGTTTCTTCAAAGGACTGGAATGGTCCAGGCTGTTCAACAAGTCTTTTCCTATTTCAGAATGTTACATTCCCAGGACATTCTATGATTATTCTTGTGAACTACAAGCAAGACGTGGTGGACAGCTGGGTTTGTACAAGGCCA